TCTGATCCATTATGCTCAGCAATCCACAGATCTGATCCATCTTGCAGGGATCGTCAGCTTGCTTTAAAACTTTCCTTTTCATTGAGCTCGTGGAGAGATCAGTTAACCCCCGTATAGGTTGCAAGATTGAGCATAATGGATCGGAGTCCGATCCATTATGCTCAGCAATCCACAGATCTGATCCATCTTGCAGGGATCGTCAGCTTGCTTTAAAACTTTCCTTTTCATGGAGCTCATGGAGAGATCAGTTAAACCCCCGTATAGGTTGCAAGATTGAGCATAATGGATCGGAGTCCGATCCATAATATTGCTCAGATCAATCCACAGATCTGATCCATCTTGCAGGGATTGTCAGCTTGCTTTAAAACTTTCCTTTTCATGGAGCTCGTGAGAGATCAGTTAACCCCCGTATAGGTTGCAAGCCAATGATCCCCACAGGATGGATAGGATCTGCGGATTGGGGAGCATAATGGATTGGACTCTGATCCATTATGCTCAATCCGCACATCCGATCCATCCTGTGGGGATCGTTCGGAGGGGTGACAACAAGTGTTCCTGTTACCGCACCGGGTGACACCAAGTGTTACCGCAACCCTAAGGATGTCCCTGCTTGGGATTTTTCTTTGTTCAGCATTTATGGCCTTCTTGATTGGCTGGCCTAGAATGATTTAACTGCTTTACATGTACACAGGAGTTATTTCATCCTGGCACAAAAGGCATGCCAAGAATTTACATTGAGTTGCACATATGTGGCTCAGTGTACATTCTAAACATTCCTGGCTGGCAGGAGAGTGGCTTTTATTGCAGAAGGGACATACAGAGTATTTTTATTAATAAAGATCACCTTGCAAGCACTGCTTTTTTCAGTTGCCCTAACACTTAAGTTCCCCTTCAACATGGCTCTAAAGGCATTTTGTTACCTTAAATGCATTCTGTGCATTAAGATAAAAAACCTTCCAAAAACTACTAGCTCCCCCCAGCCTTCCTCCCTTAAACAAAATTGGCTTACCAGAGTTCTGTATTGATCCTGTGCTGTGCCCTCCTGCAGCTTTTCTCTCTTCTTCTCTTCTTGTATTCATAGGGCACTGAGGCAGCAACAAGAGACATTGGCTCCTGCTGCTATCAACCAAATCCTATGAGAAATGAGCAAGAGGCGGTGTGGCTGAGCTGCACTGTGTGTGGCTTTGAATACACACAGCCCAGCTAGAGAGCATGCCTGCACTAATACCCCCACAGCAGCCGGCTTGCTATGGGGACATTCAGAGAAGAAGAGGAGGGGACAGCACCAGAGGGGGACCTCAGACTGCTCTGTGCAATGCCATTGCACTGAGCAGGTAAGTATAACATGTTTGTTATTTTAAGCAAAAAAAAAAAAAAAGACAGCCTTTCCAATCACTTTAATGAATTTGCTTAACTACTGCTAGTAGTTGTATAATAAACCAGGTGGGAAACAATAGCATATAGGCTTTGCTTTGCTAAAAGTCCCAAATCCATAAGCAATTTAAAAGAGATTCTAGCTATACTGTTTCCATTATACCAAGAAAAACAATAATAATAATGACAAATTATTAAGAAATATAAGTTACTTCTCTGTGTATTGCTGGATATGAACGGTGTGTACATGTGAAATCACTTACAATGCATTCTAAAACACATTTTATATATTTTAGCATAATGGTTTGTTGCTATCATGGTGTATTAAAAGCTCTGATTCATAGGCTGCAGTGCTGAGAGTGTCATGCAGTACGTCAACTCAAACGCTGAGGAAATGTATTACAAGGTAACAAGAGATACTATATATTATGAAAAGAAAACATGAAAGGCTGTAATTCCATGTGAACATTTTTTCTGCAGAAAAATGAGTTCTGAAGTGCATAGAGATTATTTTGTTGAAGGTTTCACACACATAGGGGTTGATTTACTAAAGGCAGATAGATTGTTCACTTTGTAGGGTAAGTTGCAGTTTGCAAGGGGACCAGAGCTTTGTGAATGTGGTGAAGTTTCACTTTGCAAAGAACACTCAATCACGTGCAAGGAAAATAAAAATGATTGGATGATGGAAGTCAGCAGAGCTTCACCTTCACTAAGCTCTGGGGTAAAATTGCTTTGCAAAGTGCAACTGTCCTTGCAAAGTGAACAGCCTATTTGCTTTAGTTACTTAACCCCACATAGGATCATACTGCAATCTGACTCACAAAAGGAGATCAGTGTTCAGATGAAAGCAGAACACCTGTAATTTTTTTTTTTCACTATGGCACAGCCCCAATGCACGAGCCAAAAAAAAATGTTCCTGGATTTCTGCTTTAAGTAAAAGGGTTGGAAAGATAAACATTACAGTTGCAGTTTCTTTAACAGCTCTGATAGTGTCATATTGCATGCACTAGATTTGTAAAGGAAAGTGTGTAGACAGCATATATTAATGCTCCTACAATGTAATTCTGATTTGAAAGTGAAAGCTTCAGTTGTCAGCCTGATGAAACAATAGCGGAGATTTAATAAAACTGGTGCGCACACAATCTGGTACAGCTCTTTATAGAAACCATTCAGCTTCCAGGTGTTATTGCCAAAGCTTAATTGAACAAGTGGAAGTTAGAAGCTGATTGGTTACTATGCACAGCTGTATTATGCACTAGATTCTGTGTGCACCAGTTTTATTAAATTCCCCGCAAGCAGAATGTCGTCAACTGTCAAGAACACACACTAAAGGTATAGGAATCCTAAAAGTCCAAAGATATCAAAGACAAGAAGCTAATGCGTTAAAATTCCCACTTCAACAGGGCTAAGGAAAATATATAAATTGTATATGTCAATCAAACAATGAGAAAATTACAATAATGATAATAGTAAGATTAAAATAGAGGATAAATGAAAGTAATCATAAAAATATAGATGAAAATGCACTAATCATGTTCAAGGTTATTTTTCTGGCTTTAAAACACCATAGGGTTTCCATATATAAAAAGCAGTATGTAAAAAACAATATGTTAAACAAAAATGAATGTACTAGGTGATAGTAATAGTATAAAACAAAAATCAAACAATCACATTGCAACACCTTACTGATACATTTAGACATGTTGGCCTGATCATAGTTATCATAGTTATCATAGTTAGTCTGGCTGAAAAAAGACAAAAGTCCACCCAGTTCAGCCATTAAAACAGTTGATTAACAGTTGATCCAGAGGATGATATATAAAGCCATTATGTATGGCCTGTTGTGCTCTATAGCTCTTCCTCTTGAGGGCCACCAAATGGTTAGCATTTCTGCCGGAAGTTCTAGGGTTGTTGGCTTGAATCCCAACCATGGACCACCTACCTGGAGTTTGCATGTTCTCCTTGTGCCTGAGTGGGTTTCCTCCAGATACTCTTGTTTCCTCCCACACTCCAAAGACATGCTGGTGGGTTAATTGGATCCTGTCTACATTGGCCCTAGTATATGTATGTATGAATGTGAGTTAAGGACCTTAGATTGTACGCCCCTTGAGGGTTAGGGACTGATGTGAATGTACAATATATATGTAAAGCACTGCGTAAATTGACGGTGCTATATAAGTACCTGTAATAAATAAATAAAAAAAAAGTACTGTATCCTGGTGGCTCTTCTGTATCTCAGAGGAGTTTACTGCTGGAACTGACCAGGAAGTGAATGAATCCACTTCTGGGCATGCAGTCCTGCAGTACAGCCCATCACAGTGCTTCTGCATTGTGTTTAAAGAGGAAGTGCCATAAGGTGGAAGTGCCATGACATCATCTCTGATGCTATCTTCCTGCACTTCCTGTGACTTCAGCATTCATGTTCAGACAAAAAAGGGTTGGTCAATTACAGTCATGCCTTCCTCTGCAGCAATTTCTGTGACTTCAGTACACATTTTCAGATGGAACAGGGCTTGTTCTGCTCTGCCCTGCCTCCCTCCACAGCAACAGATCACTACAGCATTGATCTATTGCTTGCTAAAATATGTTCGTGCAGCTGCAGAAGTGTGTGTTTTAACAGTGGTTCTAAAAGTCTTAAGTTTTATTTCACCTAAATTCAGTCTATGCATAAAGGTAAAAAATGCTCCACTACTAGTTTCCCCCCTCCCTGTCCCTAAACACTTACCTGAGACCCCAATGCTGTGCCTGGTTGCAGCTCTTCTCTCTTCACTTCCTGCTGTCACAGAAGACTCTAACAGGAGCCAGAGCCATTGGCTTCTGCTGCTGGCAGTCAAATCCTGTGAGGGGCGAGTGGTCAAGTCACGCTGTGTGTGTCTATGGATGCACACAGCCTGGCTTTGGAGTGCACCCTCATATCACTTGCAAGAAGAAGGGATGGAGATCGACAGAAGAGGACTGCAGTAAAGGAAGAAAGGGACCGCTATGTGCAATATACAATAACATCTTTTGTATTTTAATGAAAAAATATCTTTACAATCACCAAAGCTTTTTTTTTTTTTTGCTAGTTAAGAATAAGTAAATACTTTAATGTCCATGGTTTGGGCACAGGTGCAATTTATGTAGCTCCAGGGAGTTGATGGCAATTTCATGTAGATACATGTGAAACCATGACTATGGAAACACAGCCCTATTGCCCTATTAGAATGCAATCTGATTAATTGTATGTTGTGTCTGTGCTTATATAAGCAGGTTGACTGTGGTTTGGTATGTTCAATATATGATAAATCGGACTTTATAAGGGGGCGAAGAAATGAGCCCACTTGGAAGTAACAAACTATATAAGTTATTTTCATTGATGTATTTATACTTAACATGTAGACACTGTAAATGTGTCCATTATGAATTCATTGAGGGCAAGCAGCGCTAATCCAGCCATACAGCTGGTACTGCATGCTGTGCCTATCTCAGACTATAGAGCACACGTTAGACTTTGGTTAATAGTAGGAACCTTCTTTAGCTCACTCCACTGCTCTGTCTTCTACTTTGTTTATGCCATCTAGTGTGTGGTCATATGGCATGTACTAAAAAAGAGGAAATGCACAAATAAAACTGTTTTTTTTTTTTAGACTAGGAAACAGATTGCCATATGAAGGAGCAAATGAACCAGACCAGACACAGGTGTCCTTAAAACAAGACATGGATATGTTGCAGAATACACTACCAGACAATGAAAAGTTCTTTCTGGACATGACCCAGGGTGTTGGCAGGTAAAGAACAGATGGAATATTACATATCAATAACTAATTTGTGACACTTTCATTTGTTTCAGATACTGTTTTTAATCTGGACAGAGTGCAGAGAAGCCCAAGAACTAAGTGATCACGTAACCATCGATCATTTAGTTCTTGGGTCAGCTCTGAGCAGAGCAGCAGTGACTGACAGTCACCATTCTCTGCTCTACCTCTCCAGCACTCACTGGAGTATCGGGCAGAAGAGGGGGCTGGAGCAGTTAGCTCAGAGAGGCTGAGCCAACTGTCTGTAAGGCATCTGGGTGGATCTTAGCATTATTGTCAGGATCATTCCAGAGCCTGGAGAGGCTCTGTGATGTCAATCAACAGTTGGGCTTTAATAGTTTGTTAGGTGATTCTGAGTTGCAGTGGCATACAATTAAGTGCACTCCTGTGGCCTACAAGAGACATATGGCCCAAAACATTTATTAGGATCAAGTGGTTAGCATTGGTTTCACAGAATCAATAATCGCTCATCTTGCCTTAAAAGTAATAAGTTACATTGTCCCCTAAAAACACCTTGAAATGTCAAATCTCAGAATTTTTCCAGGTTTTTATTTCCATCTTTGACCTCATTTTGGTGATTTAACCTCACTTCTTGTTGTAGTGATACTATGAAAGGAAATGAGAGGGTGTGGGTGACAGAGAACCCTGTAAACAACAAACATGTTCTTACAGATTTTCTAACCCTCCCTTCTGTACAAAACTAAAATAAAAGTGGCTGTAGATAGGCTTTGGAGTAGAACTACATTTTTCATTAGAAATGTAAAAATAACCAGTCCATCAAAGTAAAAATTAAAAAAAAAAAACAGCCTTTGCTGCAATACTCACATTTAACCAGGAGCTTTCCCCTGCAGTTATATACAGTATTTCTGCCACTAGATGCTACCAGTCTTCTCGGTTGAATGATGGCCGGCATCTTTTTAAAGTACTTATTTTGAACCTGGGCAGTCATTGACATGCCCAGGGGCTGACTGACCATTTGGAAACTCGGGCAGTGCCCGAGGGCCCGGGGTCAGTAGGGGGCCCCACGAGATGCCCCTGGTACCTTTTTTATAGGTTTTTTTTTGAGTTTTGGCAAGGACACAGGGGCCCCATGATCCCCTATTGCCCGGGGGCCCCATGAGTTGTCAATCTGCCCCTGGGCACGCCCCTTGAGGTATGTTGTCATGCAGCTTGAGTGCAGAGTATTAGTGCACAGAATAGTACACGCAAGTCATTACATGAGTGTTCTTCAATGTAGGAGTATGGACCACTGCTACCAGACGAAAAAAAAGGAAGGAACATTAATGTCACTGGACTGGGCAGAAGACTCTTGGTTGGTTTGTATAAAAGTGCAGGAGGACTTCAGGGAGGGGAGGAGGATGAGGAGTAATTAGTATTCTAAAACTGGAGTTTTTTAAGGCATACTGTGGACAGATTGTTGTTGTACTTACTCAGCATAATGACAAGTTGCCTGTGCCTTTAAGGACTGGCATTTTACACCATTCATTTTGTTGTATGCATTTGTTCGTTTAGTTTTTATACTAACAACAATTATGGGTCTCGAAATTTGAGCCTCACGCAGAAGCTTTCAATAAAGAATTTAATAATTATTCAAATTACTGCTATATAAACAGTAATTAGTGTAATTATCATATTCTTCAATAAAAGCGTATGTGTGAGGTGTAAATTTCGAGACCTATAATCTTTTTAGTATAAAAGCGGATGCACCCCACTTTGGCTTTTTAAATTTAACTTCATTTGAAAAGGAATATTTGGCTGTGGGCTGAGCTCTTCATTGTTTAATATAAATTGGTTTTATCTTTAATTTTACCACTGCAGGTACAAACTTTTATCTTCAATTTTCATCAAAGGACGACTATACTGGAAACTGCAGATACAGTTAGGTCCATGTATATTTGGACACAGGCACAATTTTTTTTTTTTCAGGCATTTATCAAAACATATTCAAGCTATAGTTATATAATGGATATGGGCTGAAAGTGCACACTCTCAGGTTTAATTTGAGGGTATGTACATCCAAATTGGAGAGTGTGCACCTGAAAAAAGCTAAATTTGTGCCTGTGTCCAGTGCTTTGATACATTGGCCCAGAACATGTATGCACATCAGGAATGTCTAAGGGTGCACTTACACTAGCATTCTGAACCATTCCTGGACATGGCTCAGCCCCTTGGGGCAGTTCATTTGTTTAGTGTGAGACTGGTTAATCAAACCCCCCAGGGACCAGTTGAAACAGGTTGTCCCGAGCACAATTCACTTCTGATCCAGTACATGTACAAATCCTGCCAGAGTACAGTTCTCTACAGAGGATTGTGTAATGAAACTGGGATTGTTGGTCTGGTTAGCAGGGGAGAATCCATTTTTTTTACAGACTAGTTTGAGTGCAAACCAGCGAGGGAGTAGGCAGCAAGACAAGTGGACCCTGGCGTGGTTCACTTAAAGCAGTCGCAGTGTGAGCGCACCATAAGAGAAGGCAGAACTTTAATCTGATTTCTTCTTCTTCTGACTTAATCCTTAATTACATGGGCAATGACATACATGTGCTTTTATACATTTGTAGGACATTTCTAAATGCATAATAATGTTTGTAATGATAATGGTAAAAGGCACACTGTGCATTTATTTGCACCAAAGTGCTTTTAATTTAATTTTGTTTACAAAAAAAATAGAAATCTGTGCATACAGGGTGCGATTAGATACTCTGAGTATGTCTAAAGGCATGTAAATGAATGCAAATCTATGTAAGCTGATTTATATGTAGACACATGCAGAAACGCAAAACAAACACAATACTACCCAGATGAATTTATTCTGCGTATACAAATGTAGGAGGCCCTCATGTATGAGGCCTTAGAAATCAATAAAGCTATTGGGTGAACATACCATCCCAGTGACTGGTATTTTCAGGAGAAATCGGCAATGGCCACATCCTTCCAATATAGACTGAAGATAGCTTTTAGATCAACAACACTGATTACAAAAAAATTGTCTTTAAATGATTTAAAAAAACTAGTCTTAAAAAAAAAATAATAATAAAATTAATAAATAGTCTTACATTGAATATGGATGTTAACACCTCCCCTGATTCCAAATGCCAATGTAAAGGAAATGTAAATCTTGCTCCATTCAACATTTGAACTTATCATCTTTACTTTGTGGAAATAATTTTTCAGAATTTTGAAACTCCATATTTTTAAGCCCATCTGTGTGAATTAATACAAATAAGTTCTCATGTTCTTCTTCTTAAAAAGAAAAACTACTTAGTAGCAGGGGCGTACTGACAACTCAAGGGCAATAGGGGATCATGGGGCCCCTGTGTCCTTGCCCAAACTCAAAAAAGCCTATGAAAAAGGTACCAGGGGCATCTCATGGGGCCCCCTACTGACCCCGGGCCCTCGGGCAGTGCCCGAGTTTCCATATGGTCAGTCCGCCCCTGCTTAGTAGTGACATATAATTGTCAACAGAAACATTACTATATCTGGAAGTGCTTTTTCTAAAAATTGGTAGATTTGATAAGTGTCATCTGGTGTATTTGCCACGTGCAGATATACTAAAATTGCCCTGATTCATTATGCTTTAAACCCCATCTTAAAGCCCAACTCAAGATCAACACTACCATCCCTTTCCCCAAACATAATTGTTAAAAACGTTTGATATACATACCTTTTTTCTATGGATCTTAGGTCCAGTCCCATGGCATCATAGGTTCTCTTCCTCTGGGAGGGGTCCTGAATGCTGCAGAAAAGGGTGCCACTCAAAGACATAGCTCCATTTTTTGCAGCATTCTCCAGTGAAACCAAAGATGATCTTATGATATAGTGCCTCCAGGATGAGGATCCATAACACCCTGGGATTTCTGGAAATGGATTATGTGAAGCTTGGCTAGCATGAGGTTCAGCACTGGACCACAGAGAAAGAGTAGTGGGTAATTCTGGAGCATGGTAGAGGACATTTAAACAAAAAGAATAGGAGCTGTAAATGAGCTTTAAGTATGGCTCAATTCACTACTCAATTAAGTATGGCTCAAGCACAAATGACAAAACTCCCATGTTGCCAACTTTTTCTAGCAGCTCCTTAAAGCAAACCTGCTTTGACTTTGCAAGCTAAAGCAACAGGTTCACCTTAATTAGGCATAGCCTACTGCTGTCTCCTTTTTTGTCATGTCAATAAAGTTTTATTGTTCATAGAGGAAAACACTTCCCACCAGACTCTAGTCCTCTTCCTCTGATGTGTTTCATCATTAGGGACTTAAATCTATGTTTAAGTCTCTAGGGAGATACAATGCATCAGAGGATTGGAGTCTGATGGGAGGTCTTTTCCTCTATATTTCCTCCTTATTATTTCTAATAACAAAAATGGACACAGCAAAGTGCATCTGCTTTGTGCACCGAGTACTTTTAAGAAGAAGTTGGATCCTGGTAGACATGGGCACCCACAGCTGGTGCCAAGAGGCTGTAAGTCCATCTAGAGTGATACCATTCCATGAATGCCATGAGATTCACTTTAACGGTAGCTGCGTCAACAGGACATGCATTCTCTTCAGTCTACCACAAGTCCTTATAGCTTTTGGAAACTCATCTCTCAAAGCACTTATTTACATAGAGCTGTCATATGAAACAACACCTTTGATGTAATTCTGTTCACCATTACAGAATTTTAAAAATTGGCTTAGGGAGAAAATAATTCCTCTTTAACATTATTAATAATAATAGTAAACTGAAATGCTTAAAGTGTATTTAAAAACAAGAACAAACATGTAATATATTGCAGCTTACTGTTTTTTTATGTGTGGCTGCATTAGCTTTCCTTTTTTAGGCTTTTTTCCAGTGTTTACTTTATTTATTGTATCTATGGAGGAGCAGTGTATTAAATCTAGGCTGCTCCTCACTGATTTGGACTACAGAACACCCTCCTTCTCTTCATCTCTGTAACATAGAGAGGCAATGTTCTGTATTTTTTAAAAAAATGAACAGGGCAGGGCTGATAACATAGGGTTTCAGGAGGCAGGGATGTCAGTTAGGATAGAAACTTAGATGCTCAGTGGATTTTTGGCAAAATAATAGGTATTTTTCTGTACTTGCAGCAGTCCACCACTGCCAGCCTTTCTAGCCTCTCCCTGAACCACACCCTAAAATAATGTTTTTTAAATTCTCCACTACATATCTTAACTCCAGCTATCTTCTGTCTGGTCAGTTGATGTCATGATAATCACTATTCGTGCCCAGTGTCAGTGGTCCTTACTGCTAGACTGAGTGGCATTCATGTAATGGTATACGAGTACATTTCAGTACAGCAGTGCAGTTATAAGAGGCCGACATGATGACACACCCCCAGTGGGTCCGTCCATAACAGACTGGGCTCATAAGAAGAGGCTGAATGAGACTGACCATCATTTAACCCAGAAGTGAGTAATGATGACAATATGGTGTGCAAAACAGGAGCCTGGTGGGAGGGGGGAATTAAAAAATTTAGGCGCACCAATTTCGTTAAGTAGTCACAAGTACAGCTCAGTTCATGTTTTAACTGTAAACTGATGGTGCTATATGTGTTTACTATATGTATATATAATTTTGTCTTACAAATAAATATTTATTAAACAAATGAGAAATTCTAAAACACTACATAATTTCTAAAGAGAACATGCAGCAGTAGTTATTTCCTTTTAGACCGCTGTCTCTGATAAAGAGAAAGGAGGAGTGAAAGGGATGCATCACTGCTCTTATTTATTCACCAGTATGTGTTTCAGCTTGAGTTATTGAACTCTGTAAAAATCAAATTTCAACAAAGCAAGTAAGACCCTGTAAAGCAAGTGAGAGCTCTACCTACTAAGTGGATGTAAAAATTCTAAATGTGTATGTTTTGATAACCTCTAAAAGATTTTTTGCAGATTTTATTTTACTTTTGACCTCACTAAAAAATTTATATAAACCAATATATATTTCCTGTAATAGATAACAAAGATCTCGTAGCTGTAGATGAGCAACAAATTTACTAAAAAAATGCAGGGTATTATTTATTTCTTTACATTAGTTGTTCATTTACATCTCTTGGTGATTCTGGAAATATTACAACTTTTGATTGGCTGATGTTACATAATGATACAAATTAAAACTTTCTTATTGTTGTGATGAGTTTCTTAAAACAGAAGTTATGAACAATATTTTTTTTTGTGCCAGGACATCTAGGCATGCTGATGGACTCTTCACCAGTGGTTACAGCAAACTTTTGGGTCAGCTTTCTGCTAGACGATACTTAGAATCTTTAATTGGCAAACGAGTCAGGTAAGATATTGTTAATTAACAGTTGAATATGAAAATGGAGTATGATTGAAACAATACATACCTAAGCTCTAGTCAGCTTTTGTGGGTTTTTTTTAAATGCATATATATTTTTGGCAGTCACCTGAAAGAGAAGTTTAGGAATAAAAACAAAAAAAAAATCATACTCACCTAGATGGATGCAGCACCGATCCCAGCTGAAGCTATTCCCCGCCACCTCTAAGACCAAGAACTGAGTGATCAAAGACCACGGAACACTCAGTTCTTGGTCTCCAGTCTGAAGAGAGCTGGGGACTGTCAGTTTTAGCTAATATAACTTGGATTACCCTGTGACCGCTGACTGTCAGTCACCTGCTCTTTGCTCTGCCCCTCCAGTGCTCACTGGAGTGTCAAGCTGTGCAGGGGGTGGGAACGGCTGGCTCAGGCTCTCAGTGGCTGACTGAAAAGTTGGGATCTCTCCAGAGCCTGGACCAGCTAAGTGAAGTAAGCCAACAGCATATTTTAGCCTGATGTTGGCTAAAAACGAGTCACAGGAGTGCAGAATGAAGTGCACTCCTGTGATCCATAGGAGAAATAAGGCCAAAATATCTTTAGCCCTACTTCTCCTTTCATGTCTATGGGTACGTTTACTTATTTAGTGATTGTTCTGCAACTTCAAAGATTATTTAAATTATAACTAAAGGCGAAACTTTTTTTTACTTTTGATAGAGAGGAGAGGGATTATTAGCCCTGTAAGGTATAATTGCTGTCTGTACCACCGTTAAGGAGATTCACCCTCTCTATTTGTCCTGTTTATCATTATCATTGTAAATGAAAGTAAATGAAAATCCTAAATTTTGGGTTGTTCTCAAAAAAGTAATGGAGGGGTAATCTTCCAATGGGGAAACTAGCTCTGGTAACCTGGGGGTCCACAAGGAATTCCCTTAATTTGCAGGGATTTCCTCTCATTGCCTGTTTTGGCTATGGGACAGGAAGTGAAGGGAACTCTGCAATGGGATAGGGGAAGAAAATCTGTCAGGGATTATAACCCTCCCTTGGTCTATCCAAAATGGAAAATAACATTTTTCCTATAGTTCTACGTAAATAAGATTGACAGTTAAAATGTGTTTCTTTTTCTTCTATTACCAGCAATAATGTTGTGGAAGATCCAGCTCCAGTAAAACGTCACTCAGATGCAGTCTTTACTGATAACTACAGCCGCTTTCGGAAGCAGATGGCAGTAAAGAAGTATTTAAACTCAGTTCTTACTGGAAAGAGAAGGTATTGATACAGACGTAGAAAGACCTTAATTAAAATAGCACTAGCATTGACAATTGCACAATGACAAATACATCTACTTAGTCATGATTGTCATTATCATGTGAGATTAATTTGGATTCTTTTCAGACAAGTGAAATGATTACTGTGTAGTGTATCTAATGGAATAAAAAATGGAACCCATAACAAAATTGCACCTTCAGCTTCTATTATTGTGAATCAATTTTCTGAAACATTCATTTCAAATACAATATTGCACATGTTGCATATATATACCGTTAACCATATTCCATTTGTTTAATATAATACTACAATTTTTTTTTTAATGCTCTTCAATGCAGTCCATGATTATTGTTTGACCAGTCTTGGAAGAAAAACTGAACACTACATATGATGATAATTTGGACATTCTTAGAAGTGTATCATATAAAGCATGGCTTTTGGGCTAACACCATTATAGTATCCCCTTAAGGAGATGTTGGCTAACTTGCTTATTCATTTTTCCTGTCTGGTTAGTCTTTCAGTTTGGAATTTAATGGAGTAAATGGTGTTTTGGTCAATCCTTTTCTATCATCTCCAATAATTAATATCAACGGGGCACAAATTAGTACTTTTATTTAAACTAGATATAATGTGATTTTAAACATCATAAATTAGACTGTCAGTGGAGATGTGTGAAACTTCTTCATAGTGATTATTAGTAAAAAAGGGCTGCTCATCTAGTGCAACCTCCAGTTGGTTTTAGTTAGAATGATATTCTGATTCTATATCTCAATGCCTTTTATGCTATTACTTTAGTACAATTTCATGGTTACAAACATTCTCTGCAAATCATGAAAACCTTTTCAGTCAAAACTTAGGAAAATACTGTTTACCCAAAGCAAAGATACAGCTGTAAGGATAACTCTGCTCAGAAGGCACAGCTCTTGTTGGTCAATTGCAGTCCTTAAGGTTTCTAACTGATAAAATATTTCACTTTGAAATGTTGTTCCTTTCCATCAATAGTATGCTGGCGATAGCTTAGCATTATTATCATTAGCTGCCACTAGTCATCATATATGTATTGTATTTACTTTTTCAGAATTTACAGCATGGTAGGATTATTTGTCTTATGAATAGATTAGAGATGAGCGAATCGAACATGACGAAGTGGAATTCGTTCCGAAGATTTGGAAAAATTCGATTCGCGACGAATCCGAAGATTAGCAAACTTCGGATGCACGAATCGAATTTTCCCAAAAATGGCGGCGACATGTGTGGCGACGGAGAAAATGGACAGAGAAGATGGGGCGGGGATCTCTGGGAAGGCGCGCAGACAAGGCGCGCTGACCCATAATGCATTCATGACATGTGATCGCATTAGCCAATCAGCAGCCAGCCAGCACTGTGTAATGGTGGAGCTATAAATCGCGGCCATCTTAGAATTCTCCATTAGCCTACGGTCATTCAAGAGAGACAGACCTGTGTGTATTAAGGGACAGAGTTAGGGCCACAGAGACTTTAGGGCCACAGAATCGTTACTCAGGGACACAGAATCGTTACTCAGGGACACAGAATCATTACTCAGGGACACAGAATCGTTACTTAGGGCCACAGCTATCAAAGAATCGAAAAATTAAAGTGACATACACCCTTTTTTTTTTTTTTTTTTTTTGGAGGCTGTCGTGCACAGTTGGTGCTGCAGTTTGCCGATTGCGCAAAATAAACTGACTTTCTGCTTCACAACCACTATTGTACGTTCAAAGAGTTAAATCCATTTACACGCCGGCTGGCGGTAATATTTTTTGGGTGATTAGTGCATTCCAGTGACAGAAACGTACAGTTTCCAGCCAACGGCAAGCTGCAATTGACCGATTGTGTACAATAAACTGACTTTCTGCTTCACAACCACTATTGTACGTTCAAAGAGTTAGATCCATTTACACGCCGGGTGGCGGTAATATTTTTTGGGTGATTAGTGCATTCCAGTGACATAAACGTACAGTTTCCAGCCAACGGCAAGCTGCAATTGACCGATTGTGCTAAATAAACTGACTTTCTGCTTCACAACCACTATTGTACGTTCAAAGAGTTAAATCCATTTACACGCCGGCTGGCGGTAATATTTTTTGGCCCCCTGTACCGGCTCCTCATGAACGTGGTTCAGCGGGTTTGCATCACTTAACGGCAAATCGTTGACAAACGCTGGGACGTTCAGTGTTGTGCGCATTAAGCCAGACACCAAAGGGCAGCACAGACCTGTTATTACTCGCTCAAGCATGGCTGAACAAAACCAGTCTCTACCACAAATTGGACCCAGACCTGCCCAGGGGCTCGTAAGTAGATTGCACGGAGGAGTAGAGTTCGTTATTGGAATTAACTGTGAGGGACTTTTAAACCTAGGCCTGTGTATGGCCTTCAATTGAAGCTGCTTCTGCTCCGCCACTCTGCCATTGGACTCTTGATAGTCGTCTCCCCACGCTGCTGCTGGGGGGACTTTTTAACATAGGCCTCTGTATGGCCTTCAATTTTAGCTGCTTACGCTCCGCCACTCTGCCATGGGCCCCTGTACCGCCTCCTCATGCTGCATGCTGCTGCCAGGCCCCCGTACCGACTCCTCATCTGCTGCCAGCCCGTATGGGCCCCTGTACCGACCTCCTCATGCTGCTGCCAGGTCCAGAGTGTGTCATGGGTCCCTGTACGGCCTCCCATTGCTGCTGTCTCCATCGCCACACTCTGCCATGTGCCACTTTCAGGTTTCCCCCAGGTCTCTCACACTGCTGGTGGGTTCCATTTTGTCATAGGGTGCTGTATGGCCTCCCATTGCTGCTGCCTCCACCGCCACACTGTGGCTCCACACTCTGGTTTTGGCCCCGTGACTGCCCAAATGAGTGAAGTGTGCGGTGATTCTAAGATCGACGGCACTCATCTGCATGTCATACTGACTGACAGTATTATTTCTCTTCCCCAGCAGACTCCAAGGGCATTTAAATTAAAGGTACAGTGTTCTGCACTAATATAAAGGCTCTCTGAAGCCTAGAAACACCCTTTTTATAAGTTAAATTCGCAGCGAATATATTCGGCTCGAAGCGAATTTATTCAGCGAATTCGGCGAATCAGCCGAACCGAATTTTTGAATAATTCGCTCATCTCTAGAATAGATCAAAAAGTAATTAACATCCTAAATTCAAAGTTTTGACCGAACAGTACCCACAGAGGATGAGCTACCCAGCGAGTGTTCGTCAGTACTTGACATCATACCCTAACCTAAACCAACTATCTTGGTACGTCTACTGAGATACACTATATTGCCAAAAGTATTGGGACATCTGCCTTTACACGCACATGAACTTTAATGGCATCCTAGTCTTAGTCCGTAGGGGTCAGTATTGAGTTGGCCCACCCTGCGCAGTCATGTTGGAACAGAAATGGACCATCCCCAAATTGTTCTAACAAAGTTGTGAACATGAAATTGTCCAAAATGTCTTGGTATGCTGATGCCTTAAGAGTTCCCTTCACTGGAACTAAGGGGCCAAGCCGAACTCTGAATAACAACCCCACACCATAATCCCCCCTCCACTAAACTTTACACTTGGCACAATGCAGTCAGGCAAGTACCTTTCTCCTGGCAACCTCTAAACCCAGGCATATCCACTGGATTTCCAGGCAGAGAAGCATGATTCATCACTCCAGAGAACATGTCTCCACTGCTCTGGAGTCCAGTCGCGGCGTGCTTTACAACACTGCATCTGCCGCTTTGCATTGCACTTGGTGATGTAAGGCTTTGCAGCTGCTTGGCCATGGAAACCCATTCCATGAAGCTCTCTATGGACTGTTGTTGTGCTAATCTGAAGGCCACACAAAATTTAGCTATTGACTCTGCAGCCTGTTGGTGGCTTCTGCACCCTGTGCGCTTTAGCATGCGCTGACCCTGCTCTATCATTTTACATGGCCTACCACTTTATGGCTGAGTTGCTGTTGTTTCCAGTTGCTTCCACTTTGTTATAATACCACTAACAGTTAACCGTGGACTATTTAGTAGCAAGGAAATTTCATGGATGGACTTATTGCATAAGTGGCAATCTATCACGGTGCCACACTTGAATTCACTGAACTCCTGAAAGCGACCCATTCTTTCACAAATGTTTGTAGAAGCAGTATGCATGCCTAGGTGCTTGATTTTATATACCTGTGGCCATGGAGGTGATTGGAACACCTAAATTCAATGATTTGGAAGGGTGTCCCAATACTTTTCGCGATATTTTGTATATGCATCACTTATCTTGCAGGCATTGGATCTAAGTGATTAATGAGTTCTATTGCATAAAACTTGCACTTATTGTAAAAAACGTTGCTTTGGTTAAACCTTTTAATGAGATACGTGTAGGGGCTTAATTTGCTAACTACCTTCTGAAAATGTGAGTTGTCTTAATACAGACCCATAAGAAAAAAAGCTTACTATAGTTAAACAGAAAGTGCATACCTAGGTAACATTCATTTTTGAGATTTGAACATTTGAATGAGAAAATTATAATGTGTTAAAATAATAAATTCAGTTAAAATAGTTCAAGTGGCTTAGTTAATTGACCCTAATGTTCTATATGCCCATATGGTACATAGTATTCAAGGACGGCAAAAAGCAAGTTTGAAAAAACTAATAAGAGCATCAGCCATAGAACCACAGACCACATGCAAGGTGAAAACAAAAACAGACTCATCAACAAGATATTAACATTTCTATTTTGGGACCCCTATCATCGGTTTTTGGGCTGTGATGATGAGTTTGCTTTTGATATCTGTTTGAGACGTTTCTAAGATTATTTGGAATTCACCGACAGGTGCATTAGATCTGCAGGTGACCTCCTTCTGACCCAATTCAAGTTGCTTTTGCAATTCCATAGACTTATATGGGAAGTGAAGCAGTCCTGACATAAACAAAATACCACTGATGCTTGCCCATACTTCTAAACATTAACTTTTTTTATTACTTAATGTAATCAAATGCTGTTTGGTTGGTTTAAATATGTCAAGCATTCAGTGGGCAGTACTTGGACCAAAAAAAAGATATCTAAAATTCTGTTTTTCTTGTTTTGTAGTCAAGAAGACATTAATCCTGCTAGTCTTCGAGAAGATAATGATTTAAGTCAAGCGCCATTCTCAGAAAACTATGATGATGCCACCATGGATGAACTTTTGAACCACCTGCCATTGGTATATTAGTGATTGTAAACATTGCTGCTGTTTTAAAATCTATTGCCTTTAAATGGACTCTAACAATTAGGGCTTTATATGAACATTTTGATGTGCATTTCAGATTTGTAGATCAGCATTTTCTGCAAAACTCAATTTGCATTGTGTTATTCAGTCGGCCTTATTCAGCTATACTGTATTTTTCCTGCATTGCTCCTATTGGAAGCATATTACAAATTCATTGGCAAAAATAAAACACACTTCAAATGTGATAGTGGTCGATCAAACCCATTAGATTAAAACACATTCCCTGGAATTCCTAAAGACTGGCGCAGGGATATTGCAACAGTGTCTCTAAAAGTGGCGAAGAATGCCCCACATTTATGTACATGTCTAGAACTTGTACATGAATTTGTCTCAGGCTGCACCACTTTCAGAGACACTTTCTCAAAATCTGTCTGATCCAAATGTTCTCCTGGACACCAAAAAAAGAGTTTGTCTTAATTAGCTGTACTTTTACATTGTGTTGCATTGAATGCGGCAATTGTAAAAGCGGCACATTAAATGTGAAATAGTGTAAAAGCGGCACATTTTAGAACTACTTGAATTTGGTGCACAAAACTTTATCAGAACCAAAAGAGTTACAAATGCTTTATGAATTGGGCGCAATACATTAATAGAAGGGATTAATGCCAGGAAAGTGGCAAAGCAGCTTTTTTTAATTCCTCCTTTGTATTTTATTTGGTTCTAATCTCAGCAGCCATACACACAAGATGCTGCTGTGTTATTGTAAAACTCTACTTGGTGCAAAGAAGCTACCAATAATATGTTACACACATAATACATGAAGAAAAATTCCAGTTGAGTTCAATGGCTTACTGTGTGGCTGGCCTTAAAACCCCCACATCTATAACAGTCACATACAATGACTTTTAAAATTGCAGTTGCCTAAAGTACATTGACTTTTACTTTAGTGTTTCCTTTGGTACTTCAAGGCTTCAGTTTGTAACTTCTGTTTACTCCCTGCAAGAGTAGGGCTCTAACTATATGTATTTGGGCACATAGCAAAACCATTGAAGGGCCCCTTGACAGTTGCATGGCCATAGTTATGCTCTTGGCAGGCAAAGTTAATGGAATACTCTCTCTCTCTCTGTCTCTCTCTCACTCTTTATATAATATATATTCAGTATATATATATATATATATATATATATATATATATATATATATAGTCAAAATAGGTATAGAGGCACTCATGGGTCTTGAAGCAGAATTAAATCTAAGCAACAGCATTTGTTCTCAACGTTTCGATAGAGCTTATTCCATCGCTCTCAAATCTTGAGCAAGATATACTGATATTGAGCTCCATTGAAATATTGATCTTTGCTGTAAGACCTGTGAGTGCCTGTATACTTGTTTTGGATTCATATGGATTTCTTTGTGGGTGAGCACCTGGACATTAACCTCACACATAGTGTGGTGTATCCAGTTGGTTGGGAGAAAGCAAAGTTGCTGATAAAGTCCCAAGTGCTATTCAATTTATGGTACTGAACTTTTGAAAAATATCAAAAAATGTTTTTTTATTTTCACATAATTCATCTCTGGTAAAATAATAATTGCTTCTTCTTTTGCAGAATCTTTGAGGAAGACCATTTGGTTGTTTTATCAGAAGAACAAGTTTACTATTTTTTTTTTCACATAGTATTTCAAGAAGATTACTTCTGTATTCAAACCAAAACAAATATGTTGTGAGGTGAAAATTGTGGCAAATATGTTTCTTATAATAAAAAAGTTGATGTTTACACTGTAAATATTACCTTAGAGATCTCTATTTAGAGCTGTAAATAGATATGCAAGAATTCATGGAAAACCTGTAATTTCATATGCTTTTAAACCTTTATTTCAATAAACGCATTTAAAAGACAAACACGAGGAAAGTGAAAGTGTTACAAATTGTAGGATGAGATATTTCAATGCAGGCATTAATATAGGTAATGAAAGGAATCTTTGAACACAGCTGACAAGTTTAGCCATTTGGAGACCCCCTTGCACATTGGATGTGATTCATCAAAACTGAAGGAGAAAAACGTTTTTGTGTTGACCATGGTGGCCAATCTGAGTTCAGTTAATTTCTATCTGGTTGTTATAGATAATACTTTTTCTACTTTTTTAATACATGCTTAAAGGTATAAGACACCTAAAATCATTATTTCACTTTTGGTTGTATGCCAGTACTGCCAGTTCTTAAGGACTCCAATGGTAAAAGGTCCATGTTGGAATTTTTACTTCACTTTTCATTAAAAACCATTATACGGCCAAGCATGGGAGTCTTGCCATTTCTGCTATTATGTCTGTAATGGGTACATAGATTATTTAATAAATACGGTGAAACACACATATATGGTGGCTATGAAAGGTAACCAAAAGAAAGATATCTGAACTGTAGAGTTGCTGAGACATACAAATTAATGGTTGATCCAACCAGTGTACTTCCCAAAAGTGAAATCTCTGTTTGTGTTAGACTGAGCACTTAAAGTAAATCTGTCACAAAGCAAAATAGTTTGTTTTTTTTTTTTTGCTCAGAAGCCTCTGATGGAAGCTGATGTTCCATCACTCAGAGCCTTCAATGTCTGTTGTAAGTGGCTTTGTGACAGGCTTCCTTTAATGCTATTGGCCTGAGTGCTAAAACATTTCCTTTGCTTTTGTAGGCTTTATTCATTTATTAGGCTACCAGAAAGGATTTAGACTACAGAATCATTCACACATTCCATATATATAAAATATATGTCTATTTTAGAAAATTTATAATGGACCCTGGCCCATACCTGTAATGCACCTTTTCATGAATTGTATTTAATCTTTATTTTTTTTAAAGAGTTTTATAAGTTTGGTCAAATAAAAAGGCTGAATGTATCTGTCATTTCAATGCTATGCTGTATGTGAGTAAAACATTGTGGTTCTCAAATGGTTAAAGTCATGCCTAAAGGGAGATAGAAGGAAGAGATTTGTTTAATGTAAAATTTTATCTACAGCATAAATATTCAGAAATTAAATTGTGTATATCTTTGCTGACGACAGCATTACTTATATATAAAGTGGATACTGGGAAATTATGATATTTTTTTCAAAAATGAATGTAACTTATGAAATATGCAGATAATAAAGAGATTTTATCATCACTGCAAATTCAGATGGTTTTGCATTTGAAATGTGTCATTCTGGTTTTTAACAAAATATAGCTTTATACAGCTTTATAATTATATCCACTATTGTTTTATCCCCGATACCTGCACTTTATATATAACACAGTAGGGTTGATTTAATAAAGCAGAGGCTGCTCTCTAAGCAAAGTGAATGTGCATTTATACTTTTCAAAGTGAATGATAGTAAATAAGGAAACTCTATGTTTTCTTTGAGTACCTAGTCATGTACAATGGAGGGTAAAAAGCAAAATGTTTTCAAGCACATGGTTGGTGAAGGGAAAGGGACAGATTTTAAATGTATTCACTAAGATCAGTAAACAATCACTTTGCCAAGTAAACAGAATCTATTATTTTTAGTAAATCAACCCCAATATGCTTGTTTTCTAAGCCTGGGTCAGCCCTGGCTTGTGCCAGAAGGACTGGCTTATCTGAGAATACTAGAGACCTGGACTGAATCCCTCAATAATTCTCTATCATATTGCAGCACTATTTACTTATTGTAAGACAATCATTGTAGCCCATATACTAAACCACCAGTAAAGAACTGTGGGACAACAGTAGTGTCAGTAAAGGGACAACAATGGTCCTACTGGTTTGTCAAAGTATACTTTTACACAAAATGTGGGTTTATGTGCTTTGCAAGTATCGTTTTCTGACTGTTGCTATGTGCAGTATGCTTTTGATACCTGTTTAAATAAAGGTACACAACACTAAAATCCAAGGGACCAAGGGACCCTTTGAATAAAATATTAGATGTCTCCATAGAATGTTATTCTTATTCAGCCAGTAAATAGTTGCTTACACATGTCAAAACATATAGTTTAGTACAAACCATATACTGTATACAGTATATTGGTATCTGGTAAAATAAAAATTTAATTTTTTTGGTGATTAAACAGTTGTGATACATCAGAACATTCCACACCTTAAAACACACCCTTGAGAAACTGAAAGAAATCTGTAGGCTGCCATTTCTGATCACCTAATAGAAATGTTCATTATCTGGGCTACTGCTGACCCACTGGTGTCAATACTTTCTGAGTCGCTACCCTCAAAAGGAAAAGGTATTCAAATCAGGGTAAATCACTGCCCCATATCTGCATAATTGTCCCATATTAGTACCTCTACCTGAATGGGATATCAGGCATTTCATAGTTACAGTATAATTGTGTATTCTGTAGTTGATCCAACATAGATTCTATACCAGCTTATAAACTGATCAAACAGAAGCTAATGGCAACAAAATCTGACCAGACCAGTAAAATATCACAAGTGCACAATAGGTTTCCCACTGTGTGTATCCATAGTGGTTAGCAAATCTCAGTGTGTAATACCAAGTTCCTAATCTCTGCACGTACAAGCCATGAACAAGCATGATTCCTGTACATTTGGATGTACAACAGAAAAGTGGTAGTGTACCATATTTGAAAATTATATTTCAGTGTCTTTGGGGGATATCTTACATCTGATAGCAATAATGCCAGTCCAACCAATGTAAATAAAGTCCCGCAGCTGATTAATAACACAAAATGATGTGCCATAGATGTGCAACCAGGTAGGTATTCTGTGTTGTAATAGTAATAGCAAAAGCAAAAGACCATCCAGGTGGAGAAAAGGGGCTAAAGGGGGTAGGTATCGAATATTGTTTTTGGTGGAATATTATGGGACTAATAATAATAATGGAGGTGGTGCTGGTAATGTTCCAGGCAGTGGTGGATCTGAAAACCCAAGATCTAAAAATGGTAGATACAATTTTCGGTGAATGCTGTAATTAAAAAAAAGAATAAAACTGTCCTGGTGCTGCAGTACTAAAAGGTATTCAAAGAG